GGGAGTTCAGGTAGGAGCGAGAGTTAGGGGTGTTGCATGGCGAGCAGTAGGGGGATGCCCCCCCCGAGAGGGAGGCGGAATACGTCGAGTCCGAGTCGAAGGAGTAGGAATAGGAGGAGTAGTAGGAGGAGGAGGAGGAGGAGGAGGAGTAGGAGGAGGAGGAGGAGGAGGAGGAGGTGGGGAGTAGTAGTAGTAGTAGGACTAGTAGGACTAGTAGTAGTAGTAGTAGGAGAGCTAAGAGATGCAGGCTATGTGAAGTATCAGGGAGAGAGCTGAGAGGGATGCGAGCAAGAAGACGAGAAGGGTGCCGGTCAGAGAGGAGATGGAAATGCCTTGCAAGGCGATGTCGTGCAACAGGGAGGAGAGAAATAAGGACCGCTTTAGAAGGTAACCAGCAAGTGATATGATGAGGTCATAGAATGTGTAACTCTCGAATGCAATCAATGCTGCATACAGGGGCCACAAGTAGATGATGAGGATGAAGTGTCGTGCCTCAAGGGTTGCATGATTCGCTCGATTACCGCCAGGCAACTTAGCAGAGCAAGTAAAGCAGAGAAGACAGGATGAAGATGTATCATATCGTTGAGAGTTGCAGAACAACATCATGAGTCTGAAAAGATGACTAGCTCGGGATACTGAGGGATCTTGTTGCTTGTTGCAAATGGCTGATTTGAATCACAACATTTGTAGCACCTGTATCAATCAATCTAACTGCTGTCAAACAACTCCAAAACCATTCATAGATCAGGCAGAGAAAGGAGCAGGCAACCGTGATACGATAGGCATTTCATGGACATGTCATGGAAGAAAGTCGCAGGATGGTCCAAAGGGCTGACCGAAGCGGCAGGTTTATGATGGAGAGCTCAGAGAGGAGCGGGAGAGAAGCCGCGGACGTGCTGAGCTCTTCGAGCTCGTTGCACAATCACTCATCACCAGGTCTCTCCCACCGGCATGGCGAGGAGATGGACGACAGCGTCAAGGAGGGGGCAGGAAAGGCTCCAGCAAGAAGCGCGTCGGCGTCGGCAGGGGAGAGCGAGGGGCAGTCAAGGTTCATCTGCCACATTTGCTTGAACTCGCCGGACAAGCCCATCGCGACAGTTTGCGGTCACTTGTACTGGTGCTGCTCTTGTCTCTCTGCTGTGAGTCTGACCTGGTGGGTAGCTGGGGGTGCATCTACAAGTGGCTGATGCTTCATCGAGACGACTCTCAGTGCCCCGTGTGCAAGGCCGGCATCGAGATCCCCGGCGGTGACGTCAGCAAAGCCAAAGTCATCCCCCTCTACGTGGGCGAGACTTCTCAGACCGACCCAAGGTAAGCCTGCTCCTCCTCCTTCGCTCTCTTCCTCCCCCTCCCCAACATCTGAGCTGACTGGATCGTAAGGAACTGCATCCCTGAGGACCCGTCCATCCCTCAACGACCGGCGGGGGAGCGTCCGGAGCCTCAGAGGAGCGGGTTCTTCCAGGGCTGGCAGGGCACCTTCACCCCGGGCAACGGCTACCCGCAGATCGTCACTAACGTGGGCTTGTTTCCGTCGCTCTTCGGACTCGCTTTTGTCTGCGACTTGTGACCCTCCTGCTTCATCTCACTCGCATGCGCAGGCGCCAGCGATGCAAGCAGGTGTAAACCATCGGCAAGGTAGCGGCCTGGCCTCCCTATCCACTTCTCTTCTCCCCCCCCCCCCCCTTTCCCTCTTCTCTTCCTTGACTGGTTTACAGAAAATTTCAACTCAACAGTGCCCGGAGGCACGCAAACAGCGCTGGAGCAGCAGGAAGCAGCGCAGCAGGAGTTTCTCTCTCGGCTGCTCTTCATGATCGGAACCTTCATCGCCTTGTGCTTGATCTTCTTCCCGTGATGTCTTGACATGAAGAGACTTGATCGCTTCACTTCTTCCCTGCCTTGTCAATTCCTCGCGTGGACCTCTTGGACCTCGACGTGCTCTTGGAGGTCGCAGAGCCATCGGAGAAGGCAGAGTAGATGACACCCGAGTTGATGGACGACTCGAAGGTGTGATGCGCCTTCTTGCTCGTGCTCGGCTTCGCCTCCTTGATCTGCCTCTCTGTGTGAGGAACAAGGGCAGGGGAGGAGAGGGGGAGGCAAAGAGAGGGAGGAGGTTCTGAGGGGTTGCGACGAGAGAAAAGTTCGTACCTGAGAGGCAGGGGTAGCGAAGGGCGAGGTCGTCTTCTCCTTCCTCATCGGAGTTTCCTTCACTTCGACCGGTCGAGCTGCGAACCTTTCCAGTCCCTCGTCGCTGTCGTCGTCGCTGCTTTGGCCTTTCTCCTCCTTGCCCTCCTCATCCTTCTCCTCATCCTTCTCGTCGTCCTCCTCCTTCTCCTCCTCTTTGTCAGCTCCATCTGTCGCAGCGCGAGCTAATCAGAGTCAGAGTCGCATCGAGGCAGGAGAGCAAGGTACCTCGTCCCGCAAGCTTCTCCCTTCCCTCGGCCTCCTCATTCTCGCTGGACGACTCCTCTGACTCCTCCGACTCCTCCGCACGCACTTTGATCACCTCCACCTTGCGAGCTTTTTTGCTCTCTGCCGCCTCAGGTTTCTCGCCTGCTCCGCTCGGCCGCATCTTGCTCATGATGTCGTTGATGCAGAAGTTCACGTTGGAGTACTTGCGCGGCTCCACCTCCTTGATCATCTTGCAGACCCTCGAGGCGTCGGCAGGGGAGAGCGACTTGAAGAATGACAGAGACACCTTGTTGATCCTTGACTCTCGGAACCTTCCTCCTCTCACTGCGTCGTGCAGCTCATGCTGCACTGCAGCAGGCAGCTCGTTCTCGTTCTTGTTCTTGCCCCCCATACTTCGATCCATCGTTCCCTCCTTCTCCTCAGTCTCCATCTCTCTCACTTTCTCCTGCAGCTGCTGCTTGACCGCGATCAGCTTCTTCTCCTCCTCGTCTTCTCCTGAATGCTCCTCTTGGACAGCAGCCTCGTCCTCGCCTTGAGCCTTCTTCCTCGTTCCCCGCATCTTGTTCGCCTGTCCCTCCCCCTCCTGCTTGCCCTTGCGCTCGCTAGCGCTTCTCCCTTTGTTGGTGACCTCATGAACTTCCTTAGGTTTCTGTTTGGAAGAAGAAACTTTATCGTCCTCCCCCTCCCCGTCTGTCGTCGCATCTTCATCCACATCCTCGTTGGCTGTCCCTGCATCCTCGTCCTCATCATGATCATCCTCGTCATCATCGTTGAGGGGTCGCTTTGAACCTTTGCCTTGATGAATTTCCTTTCGTCTCGGTGCAACTCTTGGCTTTTCATCGTCGTGTTTCTGCGTATCAAGTCAACAACACACGTGCACACCTCTCTCGTCCTGTTTCTATCCTACATCACCTTGTTTTCATCATCCTCGTCGTCCCCGTCGCCGTCGACTTCAACGTCATCTTCCTGATCCTCTTCTTGCTCTGCTTCCTCAACTTCAATCTCCTCTTTCTCTTCCTCTTCAGATTTGTTTTTACCCTTCGACTTGACGTGTATTGCTCTTGCTTCCTTTCCTTGCGCTACGACTTTATTCGATTTCGCATTCTTGGCTGGTTTCTTTGTATCCTCTTCGTCGTCCTCGTCCTCCTCCTCCTCTTCTCCTACCTCTTCTTCGTCCTCTTCCTTATCACCAACATCCTCCTCGTCCTCGTCCTCGTCCTCGTCCTCGTCCTCTTCCTCTTCCTCGTCCTCGTCCTCGTCCTCGTCCTCGTCCTCTCCAACCTCCTCCTCCTCCGATTCGTCCTCATCCTCCGACACTCCTTCGTCCTCCTCTCCCTCCGCCTCCTCCGACTCGTCTTCCTCCTCAATATCATTTGCTTTCAGCTTGCTCTCAACAGCAATGTCTTGTTTCGTTTGTTTTCCTGCAACTTTTTGCGGGGCGTCTTCCTCCCCTTTCTTCGACTTGGGAGGTTTCAGCGGCTGTGCAGGTTTGCTAACGTCAGTTTTCACGTTCCCCTTCCCCTTCCCCGCTTCTCTGACGTTCAACGCCTCCTGTCCTCTCGCTTCCTTGTCGCTCTTTTGTTTCTTCGCTCCACCAGGGCGATCGGCAGCAGAGGCCGTGGAGGAAGTGGAGGAGGAGGAGGAGGAGGAGGAGGAGGAGGAGGAGGAGGAGATGTGTACGATGCCTCTCTTGTCGCCGGCCTCCATGGTCTCCTCCTCGCTCTTGTTGAGGATCTTCTCCTTCTCACACTGATTGATCAGGTCCACCAGGAGCTTCGACTTGTTGGGCAGATCTGAGCCAGCATGCGAGCAAAACTTGTCCAGGGCTCGGAATGCGATGGCGCGATGGACGCGAACTAGTTTGTTGAGGGCCCTCTGGTCGATGTCTCTGCTGAACATGGCCTCTGCCTTCAGCTCCTCTATCTTCCGCTGCAGACTTTGAGGAAGCGACCTCCACTCCTCCTTCGGCACATGCCTCTCCACCACACTCTTCACCTCCGCCGACTTCTTGGGGGCTAACGTAGCGGCCGAGCTAGCAGGGACGATGGAGGTATGCGAGGAAGCAGTGTAGAGCAGTCGTCCTTCTGAGCTGTTCAGCTCAAGTCTCTTCACCACAGCCATTAAGTCCTCCTGATGCTCTCTCGCCAGCGACTCCACATCTTCTTGGAACACTATGGCCAAGGTAGGACAGCAGCCCTCGAATCCATTCGCCTCTGCAACGCCGGCGAACGAAATGTCCTGGGAGACGATGAAATCGCCGCTGGTCTTAACAACCAGGACGTTCTTGGAAGGAGAGGAGGAGGGCTGAAGCTTGCTCGTCAACCTCCTATGCTCCAACATGATAGCCTCCACCACGTGCGATACTTTGAGGGGACGAGCACGTTCCTTCACCTCAACGAAGAACTTGAGGCCGTCAGAGGTGAGAGCTCGAACGATGGTCTTCTCACCTCTTCCTCGCTTCTCCTCCCTCTCCTCCTCCTTCCCCTTCTCTCTCTCTTCCCTCGCCTTCTTCCCTCCCATGGCACGCGCAATTGGTGAGAACCGAATGGTCCGCATCCCCACTCTGACACATTCCGTCCCTCCGCACACGGTCAGCAGTGACCGTCGCACAACTGCCGCACGCGCCGGGCGGCGCCCGGCGCCGGGCCTCTCAGTCTGGCAGTCCCGGATATCCGGCCGGGGCTGCCGCCGCCTGGCCGCACACTGAGCCCCGGCAGGGCCCGCCGAGGCTCTGAGTGAGGGCCTCCAGGACCGGGCTCAGCTCCGCTGAGGGCCCGGCGGATGATAATCACTGGGAGTTAAAAATAGTAGGCAGTGGGTCAGGCTGAGAGACCTCTGAGTACGGTGGCGGTGGCACTTCAAGTGAGTGAGCGGTGCTGCCAGGAGTTCACTAGGAGAGAGAGGCAGGTAACTTGAGGCTACAAGTATCAAGGGAGGGAGTCAGGTGCGGATGAGGGCGGAGGGCTGGTACTGGCGGACGAGGAAGCGATGACCTGACTCGATCTCAGAGAGTTGGAAGGAGTCGAGGAACTCCTGCTCCTCTCGTCAGTCTTCCTCGGCCTCCTCCTCTCTTTCCCCCTTCTCGCCTTCTCTCCTCTTCTTCACCTGCGAGGGGCCATCCCGAGGGCATCGCGTGAGGCGCCAGTAGAAGCTTGCGGCCTTGAGCCCCATCAGCATCAGCTCTCACCCCCTCGACCCTCCACGTCTACCGGAGCTGAGACGCCGCAGCCGCAGTCGCACAAGACGATTGCTTCCCCTTCCGGCCCTCTCACCTGAAGCAAGGACGCTCGAGCGTCAACCCCTGCCCTCCTCCCCTCCCACCCCCTTCACCTCCATCGGCTGCCTTCCTGCCCAGATCCCCGTGACCCCGTACTTCTCCGTCGACTGCTGCCGCACGCTGCTGGAGGCCTGCAGGAGGAACTTGGACTTTGGCTTCTGCTGTCTCAGCGACTTCTTCACGAACCCGCGCATTCTCGCTAGCCAGCCCTCCACGTAAAGCTGTCCCCGCCTGAAGGCCGTCGCCTCCCTGCTGTAGCGGGACGACCAGATTTCCTTCCTGTACCTCAGGTACAAGGTCGCAGACACGGCGCGGGCGAGGGCGGGAGGGTCTGGAGCCGACGGCTCCTCCTGCTGCTGCTCGCGGTACATCCCATGCGCAGCCTCCACCGCCTCGTCGCTGACAGGCTCCTCCGTGATGTCCTGCGAGGGCTCACAATCACAGCACGGCGAGGCGAGTGAACCTGCAGGATGGCCTTGAGCGTCTCTGCTGTCACGCCAAGTCGGCGAGGAGGACGGAGATGCTTGTCGACACTTCGCAGTATGTCTGCATGTCGCCTCAGCGAACAAGGAGCGAGTGAGAGGAGCAACCTTGCAGCCCCTCGACGTGGAGGAGGTAGAGGAGGACAGCTTCCACCAGCATCCTCTCCCCATCCTCGACCTCGAGGCTCTCGGAGCTCTCATAGATCCAGATCACTTCCTGCACCAGCTGCAGGCACGTCAGAGCGAACCTTCTCGTTGAGGCTCACCGGGATTCTGCTGGGCGATGCGAGCTTGAGGAGGTTCAGGAAGTCGTCAGGCGAGGGGTGGGTGCCGTTGCTGGAGATCCACTGCCGCGTGAGAGCCTGCTGGCAGTGAGGCAGGGGATGTGAGGGATGAGATGAGACACCTTGACGCGCTTGATCCTCCCCGTCTTCATCATGCTCGTGAGATACCTGGGAGGCATCTGCCGTCCTAATTGGGTCACCATCTGACAGGTAGTTGCAGGGCGATCAAACATTTTATGTATCCCACCATTCCCTTTTCTCCCCTCCCCTCCCCTGCTCTGCTCTGCTCTGCTCTGCTCTGCTCTGCTCTGCTCTGCTCTGCTCTGCTCTGCTCTGCTCTGCTCTGCTCTGCTCTGCTCTGCTCTGCTCTGCTCTGCTCTGCTCTGCTCTGCTCTGCTCTGCTCTGCTCTGCTCCATGGCTCTTCTCTCGTCTCCCTCACTCAGTCTCCCTTGTCGCTCGTCCGTTGTCTTTTCGCCATTTTCCCATTTTTCACCTCTGAGGCCGGCTCGGTCCAGCTCACAGCGATGCTGGCGGCGATGAGCGGTGAGGGGAGCAGGAGCAGGAGCAGGAGGAGCAGGAGGAGCAG